TTAAATCTATGTCGGCTCATGCTTTCTCTCATAATATGCACTTCTTTATCCTCATCCTTTGACCAATGCATATCAACTTGAAGCAGAGTGTAAATCAGATAATATACATATGCTAATAATTTTTTTAAATCTATGTTATTTATTTCAAAACTGTGACGGTTATTCTCAATTACTTTTTTATCAAAAAGAGTGAAAAAACTTCAATATATGACTTGCCTACATGGTTGCCTTTTATATTGTCTAAATATCAATCAGACTGATGTTGAATTACTACTGAGCACGAAAGAATATCCGTTATTACAACTTGAGATAAATTTGGATTTACTATTTTTGCCTGGTTTTTTCTTTAGAAGTTTTATCTGTGGTTCAGAGGAATATCATAATCAGAATCGTTAGAATTCCCAATCTTGTATTTCATATGTACCTGCAATATCCGATTTTATTGATTCTTCACAAATAATATTATCATCAATCTCTTCAAGGAATACAATAATATACCAGCAAACGAATGGGAAAGATATCTGACGGAACTGATTAAAGCAAAGGAAAATAATAATCAACACAATAACGTACCTGAACTAAGAGACGAAATAGAAATCAGTTTTCACGAAGTAAAAATAGTCATAATTTCACTCAAAAATAGAAAGTCATCAAGACCAGACGGAATAACCAACGAGCTTCTAAAATACGGATGAGAAAGTTTAACCCTAGAGATGACAAAACTTATACAAAAACTAATATTGCACTGCAAGATACCAAACGCATGGAGAAACAGCGTAATGATACCAATGGTCAATAAAGGACATAAAGAAGACCCCAACAATTATAGAGGTATAAATCTACTGAACACCGGACTTAAGCTTACCACAAAAGTCCTAAACAACAAAATCAATAAACAACTTTATCAGATGAACAACAAGTATTCAGATCCGGATTATCCTGCGTAGACGCCGTATTTGTACTAAGACAAATCACAGAAAAGGCCATCATATCTATGTTTTATAGACCTGACAAAGGCTTTCGATCGCATCCAAGTGGAAGACGTCTTACACCTACTGCATAAAAGGAACATACCAATCAATATTATACAAACCATCGAAAGCATCTACCTCCATAATCGAATACAGGTAAAGATAAATGGAAAACGAACACAGGGTATACCAGTACAAAGCGGAGTCAGACAGGGTAACTCGTTAAGCCCTCTTCTCTTTAATATATTAATAGACGAAATAATACAAGCAGTACGTAAAAGTCATGGCTACAGAATTGGGAACAAAGAAATCCAAATATTATGTTATGCAGACGACGCCGCATTAATCGCCAAGACAGAAGACGAGCTTTAAAGATTAACACATATCTTCAATACAACAGCTAAGAAATACAATATGATAATATCAGCGTAAAAATACAAAAGTATGACATTTAAATACCCACTACGGTGTAAAATCGAAATTGATGGGAAAATAATAAAGCCGGAAGCAAGGGTTAGATATCTGGAAATAGATATAACCAGTTACGGAGATGTTGAAGAAGAAGTACGACAGCAAAGCTTAAAAGCAAGTAAAGCGGCGGGTTCTCTTAATGACACAATCTGGAAGAACAAACACCTAAGACAAGACACAAAAACAAGAGTCTATAAAGCAGGAATTAGACCTATATTAACATAGAAGGAAGAAGAAGATCAATGTCTTCTACATCAGAAACTTTCTAATCTAATGTCGGCGGCAAATAAACCACATTAAGTGGCATTTTCACAATCTTAGTCTTCTTCTAACAAAGCTATTAACTCTTTAGTAGTTAGTGCCATCTTCATTTCATATTTCGAGAATTTACTAAAATAAACAAATGCACTGCTATATAAACGCATTCATATGATAATAGTTTAGCTTACTTCATTTTAATTTATATGAACTTCATAATATATTTTCATATTTATATAAACAAATAAACACAAGCAAACTTTCAAATTAAGTTAAAAAAAAACAAATATAACGTTTACAGCACACAGCAATTTTATAAATAGAGAATGATGTGTAATGATGTGTAATTAAAATTGCAGATTGTTTTTAGTCTAATGAAAAAAAATTATTTTCCAAAGTTTTCTGTTTTTTGAAGTTCTGTATTAGATACTCTCTAATAAGAATAAAAATTTATTTTATTTTGTTAGACAACTATAAGATACCTGTTAAAAGAGACATGATAATTTAATAATTAAATCGGTCTTAGATTTAATTTTTACGTAATTACTTATGTGTTTAAATAAATAATTAAAATTTTTTAGGTACGCCTCTGCAAAATTGATAATTTCAATACGATTTCGTTGAAAAGTTATCGTTAATGGCTTCGTTAAGTACGATGTTGCCAAGTAATCACCTTCAATTAAAAATTGTTTTAGTATAGTCAAAAATAAATTGTTGTATAGTGGGTTTAATAAATTGATATAAATTATCGTTTTTTAGTAAATTAAAATAAGAACAATAAATTAGAATTAATAAAGATATTACAACATATTTACGTTAAAACAAATAATTGAGAAAGCTAGAATAAAGAATACAGAAATATATATATCTTTTCTAGATATTGAGAAAGCATTTGACAGAGTATCCCAGGAAGCAGTTTGAAAAAGTCTGCAAAATAGAAATATTGACCATCAACTAACAGGTGCTATCAAAAGTCTGTATCAAAATAACAAAGGTTATGTACGTAAGGATAACTTGGAATCAGAGATGTTTGTAATAAACGAGGGTCTAAGACAAGGAGGTGTTATGGGCCCCACACTCTTCATATTGATTATTAACAACATAATTAAGGAATCAAAAGCAAGTAAACACAAAGAAGATATCGGATATAGTAAACTACGACCGGTTGGTATAGCTGAGTGTGCATTCGCAGATGATCTCATGTTATGCGCTTCTAACGAAAGGGACCTCCAGAAAAATATAGATAGCTGGAATAATGAGCTGGCAATTAGAAACATGAAGATTAATGTTCAGAAAACCAAGGTGATGCTAATAGCGAAAACTAACCGAAATGTTAACATAGAAATTAACCAACAAATAATAGAACCATGTCTGTGGTTGGCGTAAATCAATTAAACCGAGTTAATTTTTCTATGCACACCAGATAAAATTTCACTGAACAGCACTACTTCTGTTTAAAACATGCTTGATTCCGTCTGTACGAATCAGATGTGCGTACTTACCACGGTTCGTAGACTTACTACGGTTATGCCTCTTCCGACTAGGGGTGGGGATGCTTGAGTTAAGTCAGCAGAGTACAGAAGAATACAAAACCCATTTATTACCACAGTTTGTTCGTGGTAATTATCTTTCAGTTGTTATTATCGAAGAAAAGCTATTTATTGTAGTTGTACATCGTACCTATTGTAGAGTACCTTACATAAGAATATCTTTTTATAAGGTAGGTTAAAACTTTAAAATTATATTGTCTATTAACGTAATAACAATGTTGATGAAATTTTAGAATGCAAGGCACAATTTGTAGTGTGGCTACTTGTAAAAATAATTTTTATAACAAGAAGTCTGCCGATTCTGATCAATAAATATCATTTTTCACGTTTCCCAAAAATACAAAATTTAAAAAAATATATGGGTTATGCGGTGTTGCAGAAAAGATAAAATAAATATAAAAACTGCAAGAGTATGGTAGTAATCATTTCAAGGATGATTTTGTGGATGACATGTATGCTCGAATAGTGGGAACTAGGCCTAAGTTGAAATTAAAGGATAGAGGTAGGTGTTGACCTAATGTAATTATGTTTATTAAATGGATGTATAAACACAGATCACTATTTTATATAGCAATTCCGAGTAAAAACTTAAAATCTCAAGATGTCTTACAGTATATTATACAAGTAATTCTAACTCGGATAATCCTAGCTGACCTCTAAGGGCCGGTAATTCATTCAATAGTTAATCAAGTATTGATAATTCAGTATATGCGACAAATTTTCAGTGTAAAATGGAGATTGAAATCCTATATTTATGTAAATCTAGAACTTTATTCTGATTTATTTTAAGTACCTATCAAACTACCTACATATCAATAGTTTTCCATAATTAGGTATTATTATCCACGTAACATCTTTATTTCATAACTATCTTTACTATTTTCTATACATCAAAGACATGAAAAAGCTGATTAACAATGTTACGATTCAAATTCCTGTACTCTCGTGACGTAATTTCTGGCTTAATGTTCATTGGTTAGTCGGAAGAGGCAACCACGGTAAGTCTACGAACCGTGCGTACTTACCTTGACAAGCAGAGTGGGCATTCTGATTGTTATTTATTCTGTGGCACAGATAATCTCTTTAAACGACGTCTTTCAATATATATACTTCATCTAATTTACTTCCCATTGCACGTCATAATCATTGACAGAGATCGAAGTTGACATAGTTGCCAAAGTATAAAAATCCTGAATCCATTTTAAATCAAATATGTCACATAATTATTGCTAAAGTAGATTATACAACAAAACAAATTATTATTTAATGTAAATAAATAGAAACAAAACAAGAATTAAAAAAATCTTGTGTAAAATAATTTGAGCCGCTTATATGCGTCGTATAAAGATGTAAAATGAAAAACAACACTTTTCTCATTATTTATTTACTTTGAAATATTTTAAAATGCAGCGGACCACGATACACTTGTGTAAGTGTATCGTGCAGCGGACACAAATTCTTGTATCGTTTCTGATATAAGAAACTATACGCCTGTATGACACTATCCATTTTTTTTGTTAATGCATAGTGTCATACGGCCTTTAAGGTTGAATTGAGAATATTAAGATTATGAATATTATTTATATATGTTTATGATGCTACCAAAGAATATAGATAGACGCTTCTTTCTTTGATGCTACGGTTACCAGCAGCATAAACTATATATACGAAATAAAAGTGTCTCCTCTGAATTTAAAAAGGAAGAAGCGTAAAATGTCAAAACTTTTATATATTTTATGTTTACAGTTTTGTTGACGTTTGGATTGTCAACATTAAACAACAAAAACCATTTTTTTAACCAGACGTTATATTTACATTGTTTTTAAAGTAGAAAATAGGCACTAAAGGAAATAATAAGTTTGTTTAATTTTTTATAAAAATACAAAACAAATTAGTATATTTTAAAACAAAGCGTTGGTGAATCCTATCATGTTTTAATTTGATTAATAAATACGAAAAATGCCTAGTTCTTTGCTGTTTGGAATCAACAATGAAGGTAGAGTTCATACCCTTTCAACCACTGGCTCTGTCTGGAGGGAGCTACCTTATGCTGGTCAGGAATTTAAGAAATTGTCATCAGTACCATTTTTCTTGTGGGCCCTTGGAGGAGATCATCAGATTTATGTGTATGTTTATGGTCTTGATGTTCCTATCAGGGTGGTGGAAGAGGCTTACGAAAACGAGGTAAGTTAAATAATAAGGTTGTGTTTAATATCAGGGTTAACAAAAATTTTTGTATTGATCTGCACAAAACATAAAACATGTAATAACAATTAGCAAATCTTCAAATATTTTTACAGATGTGTTCTTTTTCTTAGTTTAGGCGAGACAAATTTATCTCTGACATTTGTTCATCAGACCTTTGTACTATTAGTAGAAGTGTTGCAATCTAGCAATGTTTAAGATTAGAATTTATTTTTGAGTAAACATAAATTCCTTTTCATCATATGACCCTAGCACCTACTATCAGTTTTAATACTGATATCTTTTATTAGATTATTGTGAAATAATTATTGTCATATGGTTTATGTGGTGCAGAAAAGCTTCAGGAATCTTGAGTTTTAATCATATTATAGGACATAATTAAAAAAAAATAGAAATTCTCATTTTTGTGGTATCAGGCATTGTCAAAGGTTTTATTTACATATTAAAGGTCAATTCAGACACATCAGTCACGTCTCGTCACAGTGATTGCGCCGAATCGGACAATCCGTCATACAAAATATTCTTTAATACAAATATGTTGCCGGCATTCACACTCATCAGTTGACAAACAGTTTCCCAGCTGTCAGATAGTTGATAGTTCTGTGACCAAATAGGACCGGCTCGGTACCGTGACTGTGACGTGACTGATGTGTCTGAATCGACCTTTACAATGCATTTACTTAACACTCATATTAGAAAAAAATTATTATCCCACTAATAACATCAGTAAAGTGTGATAATAATGTGATATTGAGTATTGAGACCTGGTGTGGGAAACATCAAATGTTATAAGTATTGCAGCTACTTCTTACTTTGCAGTTTTTATTATGTAAGTACAACATTGTACATTTTACAATTCGTTGTTCCTAATTATGGAGAGACACAGGGGGTAAACCACATTGATGCAGTTAATTGAAATGAAAAACATTTTGTTTTTCTTCTTTAAGTGCCATCTTATCCATCCATGACAAAGGTTGGCAATCATCATGGCTATTCTGACCTTCAAGGCAGCTGCTCTGAACAATTGCCTTGAGCTGCAACCAAACCACTCTCTCAGGTTCTTCAACCAGGAAACGCATCTTCTTCCTACTCTTCTCCTACCCTCTATTTTTCCTTGAATTATGAGTCTGAAGATGTTGTATCTTTCGCCTCTCATCACCTGTCCGAGATATTGCAATTTCCTTTCTTTTATTGTATTTTCCATTTCCCTCTCTCTCTCTCTGCCTATTCTCCTTAACACTTCTGTATTTGTGACTCTATCTACCCATGGAATCCTCAACAATCTTCTAAATGTCCACATTTCAAATGTGTTAAGACAATTTATTGTATTCCGGTTTAATGTCCATGATTCAGCTCCATAGTAGAGTACACTGTGTACATAGTATTTAGTTAGCCATATTCTGAAGGCCAATGTCAGATCTTTGCTGCATAAAATCTTTTTCATTTTCACGAAGTTGGCACATGCTTTTTCAATTCTGACTCTTATTTCTGCAGTATAGTCGTTATTTTCTGTAATTATCGTTCCCAAGTAAGTTTATCTTTTTACTCTCTCAACTGCTAGCCGCCTACCGTTAATATTTCGTTACTATTGTTGTTCTTGCTAATTTTCATGAATTTGGTTTTTTTATGTTAAGAGAGAGTATGTATTCTCCACTATATCTTAATATTTTGTTCATTATTCTTTCTAAGTCTTCCAAGTTGTCAGTTATTATGACTGTATCATCGGCATACCTAATGTTGTTAATTAAACTTCGGTTCACTTTTTGTTCTGATATGCTAAATAGTGAAACTAATAACTAAACTTTCTATTGAATATCATAGTCATTGTCCCATTATAAGAGATAAAAATGTAGTTCTGAAAGTACTATAAATATTTTAACTAAAATGAATTGGAATCCAAAGCATCATTGGTATAGTCTATTCGATGGGCTTAGATTTATTCTTACAGGTTTATTGTCAGAAATATATAACACAAAAATTCCTACCTCCTACATAAACTAGCCCAAATAAACTTGAAACAGGGATAATTCCCAGGAGTTGGCTGTAGATACCACATAAAAAATCGAACATCAAAGTAAAATACTTCTGTTGTAACTGGTATCAAGTGGAGTGGTTTAAATTTAATTTTAATTAAATATAACAACAAAAGTGTTCTACTTCAATGTTTGAGTTTTTTAAATAAACTAATTTTTGCAGCCTATTTTTATATAAAAAAAGGAGAATAATCAATAACGGGAGTGTATACTCTTTAATTTTATTTAAAAACTTTCAATTTGTAAAATTAATCTAGAAACAAACCGAAAATTTAAAAAATAAACATTTAAACTTTTGTTTTAATTGATGCATTTTTATTTTGTTAATACACTGGATATAAATAATTTTTGTTTATCAAGTTATAATTAATATTGGTTACAAGCACATGTTCCAACATGTGCTTGTAACCAATAACATTTGTACACATGTACACACAACATTTAAGGAGTCTTATTTTTGTTTCTAGGCTGAGGTCATGACTCTTGAACACAGAACTCATAGTCAAGAATGCACTCTTTGCCTTTCTGATATGACATTTAATCTTTTGGATATTATCCCACAACTCATTGATTATAATTCCCAAGTAGTTGTATTGTGAGACTAGTTCAATTCTAATTTGGTTCACATACAGATTTGTTTCAGTTATGTTTTCCTTGCTGATGATCATTAGCTTGGTTTTGCTGGTGTTTATATCCAGTCCATATTTTCTACTTGTTTCTGTTATTTTGTTCATTAAGTTTTGCAGCCCTTCTATGGTACTGGAAAACACTATTGTATCATATGCATACCGCAGGTTACTGAGCTTGACTCTATTTATTGAGATACCTTCATCAATATCTTTTAGAGACTATTCGAAAATGTGCTCCAAGTACAGATTAAATATCTTTAATAATCTTTAACAAAAATCTCAAACTAAAAGCAGCAAAAGTTTTAATTCTGGAAGAATAGGACATACGCAAAATAATTGCTGAAGCCGATCGCAGACAAGGAAAGAAGAACCAAAGAATGGGATCATGAGGTTGCCTAGATCTACAGCCAGAAGTCTGTCACATAGTCGTATTAGAAATACATACTCTGCCATCTGAAGTTGCATATCTGATTAAGCCACTAGCGATTAGGTAACAATGAAATACAAAAGTTAAGAGAACAGGTTCAAAGTCAGTGTCAGCTTGAAGAAAAAGAGAATGTAACCGAAAAAGTAAGTCTCTGGAGGACCACAATTAAACAGGAACAAGATTACTTCCCTGGAAGACCGTAACAATATAATGATTCTATAACATACAATATATGCATAGTATTATAAACATTAATATACATTTTCGAGGATCAGATCGATTTAGGTACAATATGGCTCAAATACATAAAGTTACGGTTTATTAGAACAGTGCACAGTGCATAACATACACATACAGCAGAATCTGTTGTACTCGACTCACGGCAGTTTTTGGTGTGTCGGTTTGTTAGATTAGTTCGGATACATATATTCTGTCGCACTTCAAACAAGTATAATGTTTTTATTAATTCTAATTTATTGTTCTTATTTTAATTTACTAAAGGTTCAATATTTATAACACTTACTTCATTTATTTAAAGTTTATTTATAATAATTTATCTTACAATAATAATTTATTATTACGATCGTTACATTTAAATACCCGATCGCGATTTTCTTTTCTGACTGACTTCTTTCAATGAAAATCATGTTATTTATATAGAAACAACTGTTAGACTAGAAAAGTCGGTCGCCTTCTCGTCTGGTATAGAGTTTCTCGAATCCCGTGTATGTTGACCTGAAAATACTAGAAGGTTACGGGCTGGTTTCTTCATTCAACCCATGTTCGGACGTTCGAATGGACCGGTTTTTAGTACTAGGAATTTCTGCCAGCTAGTCGAAGGGTCTAGAACATATTAGTGAATAAACAACATGTTTACAGGTTTTTTTAATATGACTAATTTTTACGTAATACAAGTTTAGACATTAGTTTCACGTTTGTTCTCGAAAAGGTTGTACGTTTAGAAAAATGAATTCTCGCAAACTTAACGCAATAATTGTATTACTCCAAGAAAAGGAGGAAGAAGAAGAGTTGATAATGTCAAATCCAGATAAAAGAAATAAAAATGTAAATGAATTTTTTTTCATATCAATACAGAATGTGCTTTTAAAATAACAGTCGAAAAAAGATTGTTTCAAAACAAGGTAAAATTTCGAGAATATTGTAGACTTTCCATTATGTACGCTGTGAGCTCAGCTGAATGTTTGCGTCCAAGGTCCAAATCAAATCGCAATTGATTCCAGTGCACACAGTCGACGTACCCTGCTATCGCTCTGCAGCGCGCGCATATAAGCAGAACCTAACAAACCGTTATCGTAGCGAACCATTTCTTTGATTTTGACGAATGTGTGCGGCTGACTGTGAGTTATGCGTCGCTCATTGTTCTAACGAACCATAGCTTTACTCGTTGAAACATATGACACTTGAGTTTCCTTCAAGTTCATGATTATGACAGAACGTCTCCAACACTTATAAGTTAAAATCTCTTTATCGTTCCCATCTTCGACCATCCTCATACTTCCCTGTCTAGAGTATATATCAAGTTTGGTCATTAGAATTCTTTCACTAAGGCCGGGTATGGTTACATCAAAAGTAGTTACAAACATATTTTTTTGGCAATGACAACATCTTTTTCATCGTGAAAGAAGAAACCTTTACCGTCGGCCTTGAGGACCCCATTTTCAATATCTAGTACAGTGTTCAGTCTTTTCAAAAAATTCACATCTTCTATAAACTGGTCCGAGATATCAGCAATTATTATTTTGCCTCGACTGTCGTCTGACCAAGGCATATTAACCTCACCGTATGTTGTTCTTACTGCGCCATTATCTACTAAAAACGATCAACTACAGTGTTTTTTCAAAACACAAAAAGGACTTGACAGAACTCCACAAAAAGAAAAAAATAAATAGAACCAGCTTTTTCTGTAATTTTGTTACCAAATGATCTCTCCTAGTAGTGATATTTAAATACTTGATCATAGCTCTGAAGATGGCTTTGTAAGCCGAAAGCGCTCAGCTAGGAATTAAAATTGTGTACACACCTTAAAAATACTTTCCTTTTTCCATTTTTTAATTTGTGTGGACCAAACTTCCTTCTAAAGATGGATACCATCCCTGGTGCGTCTTTAACACTGGCCGGGATGGTAAGGGCCACTGAGTAGTCATCGGGAAGCGCGAGTAGATTTTGCCTTTCTTCAGCTGTAACACCATGTCTTGCTTTACCGGTACCTTCATAGGCCCCATGAATTCCTCAAACGTGAGGTCAGACACATCCTGGACTTGGTTTACTTCTACTTCTTCATCTACGTCGTGGTCACCTTCGAAAGACGCCAGCCGGTTATGGTGTACTATCATCGGCTGTCCCCTCGGAATCTTGCTTGTGGACTCTAGTGTGGACAAAAACATATCAGTCTTTTCATTTAATAATTGTTCTGTTCGCCTCTTCTCCAATGGTTTGAATGGTTTGCATTTAGATGGTCCCGCGACGGTTGAGTAGGTTTTCATGTTCCAAACCAATATCAAATGATTCATCTAGTATATAAAGTAGCATCAATTACTCTGGAAATGTAAAACTTCATATCTTATTTTAGCGATGGTTGCCAATAGAAGGATTCTCTTCACGCCTACTTCCAACTGACCGTTATCACTTCTCGAATATAGACGGCTCCGATGACCGTTCGATAGATAAAATTAGACTTCCTTCCATGGCATGGCAGTGGGAGGGCGATTGGCAGAAGGAATTGACTCTGAACGGTCAGCCGTTAGATCACGATGGCTGGACCTATGCCGTGGATTTTCCAGCAACCTACTATCCAAAGAAACAGTGGAAGACCTGCGTGCGAAGAAGACTTTGGACTAGATCTAGGAGATATAGTGCGATGAACTCTTGGTGTGCAATTGCACCTTTACATAAGGATGCCACCACCGTAAGTATTCGTATTTAAATATATAGCATCGTCATTATTCTCTTTTCCTTTATCCCTATGCGAGGTCGGCTTCCCTAATTACATTTGCCTATTTTTATAACAAAAAACGTTCTTATAATAACAGCTCACTATTTTAAAATAATCTTTTTTGAAAACGATTTCCGGAGTGTAAATCGAAACGTCAAAAATATCAATCATAAAATATAATTTTTATTACAATTAACTTGATGGAGTTATGCAAGAAAGAGTCAACCACACAAGTCTGATTTTGAGATACATAGCTTAATAATAATAAGTTTATAATCTGTTGCAAATCGCATGTTTTGTTATAGTACACCTGTGATATACTATTACAACAGTTAACATTTTTAATTACTTTTTCAACACAATTAAAAAAAATACCAATTATTTCTGTGTAAAAATAGAATAAAATGTGTACACAACAACCCACATACTAGTTATAAATGTTTTATTGATACAAAATATGGGACAAAATATTTAATAGCAGATAATTAAAAACTTATTACATGTTATTTAAAAGTCTTTAAAATAATTTTAATCCTCTTCATCAAAGTCCACATTTTCTACTCAAAAACCATCAACATCACCAATAAAGTAAGAAATTATAAAATGGTTTTAGATCTTGTGGTACTAGCTTTACTAGTTCTTTGAGATCTTTAATTGTTTTCTTTTGATAGTGGTTTACCTGTTGGCCATAACTGCTGATCCAACTCAATATCTTTGACGATTACTGCAGTCGACCTTTTTTGCTACATCTGCTATCTGTAAGTTTTCTTCTGTCTGTGATACATTCCAATACTTTGTCAATTGAAACCATTTCTCCTTTCTATTCTATTGTATTCTATTTTGTTCACAACACCTTTGTTTTTTCTCATGCATTGTGTCATAACATTAATGTAGTCTACATCCGTGTATAACCAACCGCTGTTGGATCTTTAAAAAGCGCTCAACATTCCCAAATTCTAATCATTGTCCAGAAAGGTATGTCCTGGTAGTAAAAATTGTCAAGTGATAAAATCGAAAGATGGATGGTTATGCAATGTGTGCATCTTAAAAGTACTAGATTAACACTGCAGTTTTTATCATCACAACAGTCTGACCACAGAACCACGTTTTTAACAACTGCATTAACACAGTACGTTAAATAGGTAAAGAAATAATAAATCAGACTTACTCACAATCAATTTAATTTAACTATCCGACGACCGGTTTCGCTTTCTACAATATGCAAAGCATCTTCAGGTCTCGGTACAAAGTTAAACAAATGCTGAAATGATAAAAACCCATATTAGGGTGTTGTCTAATAAAGATAAACAAATTAGATGTTATAAATTACAATAATTATGCCAATATTACCTGTCTGTGGTTTTATTTAAATGATTGAGTTGAATAAAAGGTATAAATATATTTTTTTAAAAGTTAAAAGGACAAGGTAAGGCCCACAAGTTGTCATAAAATCTCTTCTATTGGAATAAATTAATGAATGAGCAAATAAATAAATGAAATAAAATAAAATTACTTACATGCCGGTACTCTATTAATAGATGGATGGTAGAACATGTTTGAAACTACTGTATATTGTTGAATGGAGAACTCAATACTATTATTGCAACAACAACAGCAATAACAGCAACAACAACAACAACAACAGCAATAATAGCAATAATAGTATTGAGTTCTCCATTCAACAATATACAGTAGTTTCAAACATGTTCTACCATACCATCATCTCTTAATAGAGTACCGGCATGTAAGTAATTTTATTTCATTTCATTTATTTATTTGCTCATTCATTAATTTATTCCAATAGAAGAGATTTTATGACAACTTGTGGGCCTTGTGCAACAACAACAGCAATAACAGCAACAACAACAACAACAACAGCAATAATAGCAATAATAGTATTGAGTTCTCCATTCAACAATATACAGTAGTTTCAAACATGTTCTACCATACCATCATCTCTTAATAGAGTACCGGCATGTAAGTAATTTTATTTTATTTCATTTATTTATTTGCTCATTCATTAATTTATTCCAATAGAAGAGATTTTATGACAACTTGTGGGCCTTACCTTGTCCTTTTAACTTAGAAAAAAAAAAAAAAAAAAAAAAAAAAAAAAAAAAAAAAAAAAAAAATATATATAATATATATATATATATATATATATATATATATATATATATTTATACCTTTTATTCAACTCAATCATTTAAATAAAACCACAGACAGGTAATATTGGCATAATTATTGTAATTTATAACATCTAATTTGTTTATCTTTATTAGACAACACCCTAATATGGGTTTTTATCATTTCAGCATTTGTTTAACTTTGTACCGAGACCTGAAGATGCTTTGCATATTGTAGAAAGCGAAACCGGTCGTCGGATAGTTAAATTAAATTGATTGTGAGTAAGTCTGATTTATTATTTCTTTACCTATTTGAAATGGACTCACACAAGCAACAAATTCATGATTACAGTACGTTAAGTTTTAAATTGGATATACACACTATAAATGGCAACACTGCGCGCCGTCGACTTTCCACGAACCTCCCCCGTCACCAATAATTTGTCATTATAAAATGGTTTTTTAAAAAAGCAGATTTTTAATTTATTTTTGTCAACATGTCTGTTTATACGTCCGCAGAAAAGTTTCAAATAATAAAATGGTTTTATGGTGGTAATTGTGAACAACAGTGTGTAGATTTATTTTCTGTGTTTTTTGAGGGGAGACCAATTCCTTGCGTATAGTCAATTCATAATATTGTTAAAAAATTTGAGAGTTGTTATTGCCTCAAAAATTGCAGAAAGTGTCACGCTCAAGAAGTTTCAGCAGAAAAAAATGTATGCAACAATCGAGGTATATTCAACATGTTCAAGTAGAAGCGTTGCTTAGAGAGTTAGATGTTAGCAAGGTTACTGTAACGAAAGTATGGAAAAGGCACGGTTACAATAATTTTAAATATTCGAAAACGCAGCAGCTTTATCCAGACGACTACTTTCGTAGAATAGAGATTCTGCCAAAGAGAGATGGAAAATCCAATAACCAAATTTTATTAAAAACATTTTATTCACTGATGAATCTTTTGTTTCTTTGGTAGAGAGACACAGTGCTTCCATTATGAGGTGTTGTGCGCGGGGAAAACCAGCATGCGTGGAAAAACATTGTTACAGAATCATGTTATTCCCAATCTTCTCAATCTTTCTGATGTAAATCTGGAGAATGTTGGTTTCATCAAGACGGCTGTTCATTTCACAACGCTCGAATAATTAGGGAGTACTTAAACAATACTTTCCCGAATCGAGTTATCAGTGGAACAGGCGATATTAAGTGACCTGGACTTATACCCATGGACTTCTTTATTTGGGGATGGACAGATTCGATGTAAATATCAGGATTGAATTGATTTGTCCGATTCTTCTCGATCGACGATGGCAATACAATAAAATGTTGAAGTTGTGGAGTAAAAATTATAGTTTTATGGACAATTACACTACTGATAATTACACTCCAGTTGTTGGTTAGTTAGGTAACTTTCTACAATAGACTGCGTTCAAATGAGCTGTTATTGCAACACTTAGGAAGTTCAATTAGAAAATATATTATTCGGCAATTTATTAAGTCTGCAGGTTTTGCAGGAGAATAGACTCTAATTATTAAAATATTACTCGATGTATTTCACAATGTCTCAATTATCTATCTATCTAATCAGCCTTAAACGCCCACTCTTGGGCATAGGCCTCCCCTGTTAATCTCCATTGGTCTCTATTTTGGGCGATCTGCATCCAGTCCTTTCCTGCCGTTCTCTTAGGATCGTCAGTCCATCTCATCTGTGGTCTTTTTCTTTTCTTTTCCCATGGTCTCCAGTGTAGAATTCGCTTATTCCATCTTTCATCTTTTTGCCGGAGAGTGTGACCGGCTAAGTTCCATTTAAGTTTTGCAACCTGTCTTGATACATCGTTCACCTTTGTTTTTTCTCTGATCCATGAGTTTCTTTTCCTGTCTTTAAGACCGATACCCAGCATCTGTCTTTCCATTGCTCTTTGTGTTTTGGATATCCTGTCGATGTTCTCCTTTGTGAAAGTCCATGTTTGTGAGCCATGTCTCAATTATACACGGTGAAATTATAAAAGTTTAAGAAGTTAAGAATAATGTGAGATTACAAATTAAGGGATTAAAAAGCATCTTCTACCATCATCCTGAGGCTAGAGCCTAGAATTTTGATGAATTAAAACCCAAATAAGAGAAGTCTCCAATTTTATTACAGCATTAACTCTTACATCTGTCCGCAGAAGTTTTCATGACAGATTAGGATACTGTTTTATCTATAGAAGGTCAAATATTTGAATCATTTCTGTAGTGCATAAAGAATTATTTCTTATTTTATTACGAATAATTTTTTATTTTCAATAAGAGTATATTTTTTGTTTTATCTTTTTAAAGAAATGCTCTTTTATTTTATTTCAACCACAAAAATTGTTTACATTACTAAAAACCGATACAAATGCACTGCCTTATAAAGGTCAGTGTGTTTTTATCGAGTTTATTTTATAAAAAATGAACCGGGCATACGTAATCGACATACCGGATATACAAAAATCGACGGACGGAGATGCATGTCTCATGCGTTGTTATGTGTTACTAAATGGTTTTTTCGTTTTCTGTCTAGGAGTCGGAGGGGATCGGAGAATTACGATTACCTCGTACGAGGCAATGTTGCTGATTTTAGCGCTTTATCTAGGGGGCAATATCTAATCCAAAACTTAACGAACTTTATGATCATTTATGTACTTCCTTAAACACACCCCATCTCTTGGGTTCCTCTGGCAGCTTCATGGTCAGTTTAAAGTACAGTAAATAAAATGTTGACTTTGCTTTTTACTATTAGGAAGGTTTTGCCACTTTCCACCTGTTTTAGAATCTTTTTAATATATCAAGTTTAATATTATAAAAAGTACTACCTATTTTGAGGATTGAGTGTTTATTGCAATATAAACAAAATATCTGACTGTGACTTGAGTGGTTTTTGCTTGAATTGATGGTTAAACGTTTCTTGCGTAATTAAAACTTAAATATTTAAATTGATCAAGAGATTGTGGATTAAAATTTCAACTATATCAATCTTTTAAATAAAGATGTATCTATTTTTCCATAATTTAAATAACAATATAATCTACCATGTGATTAGAGTAACTCAATTTTGAATGTTTAACTGCTTTTTGCATAACACCATCCAATTGTGGCTTAATTCCATATAAACATAATATTTAACTTAGACATGTCACAAGAAAACAGTTTGAGAACCTTTTTAAGCAGTTCAATAACTTCAAATTACGTTAAAGCAGATATAGCTGTGATAGCATATGCTGTTGTTCTAAAAAGTAAATGAGTTTTAGTCAATCTCAGTCAAGTCTCTCTTTCTTGCAGTCTTTGTCCACCAGGTGGAACACTTAACATCGTCATAGTTGTTCTTCATTAGTGTGTTAGACATACTACAGTAAACTAAGTAACTCATGCCCTCTGCTCCAATATCAGGATGCTACTCAATATTGTATAAACAAGAATGTCCCTCATTTGCTATAACTAGCCATATACATTTCTGCTGAAAATTATATCATTTTATTCAATAGATGACTCCCCCATCCAAGCAGTATACTCTGAATGATTTTTTCCATGACTTATATTTTAAATAATTTAAGAATTGATCTCAGTAAATCTTTATAATATTGAAAATTGATTTTTATTTAGGAACCTTTTATTGACATTTCTATTGGAGGTCAAAATGTATCTGGAGCAGAAGCAGGAACAATGCTTGTGTGGGCAGTAACTTCTCATAATAGGGTAAGTTAAAAAATGTCATTTATACATGTTTTAAAACCTTGGCAATAATACTAATCTCGAAATATGGTTTCCAGGTAATGTTTAGATCTGGAGTAACCACAAGATCTCCAGAAGGAGCTCGTTGGATTCACATTCAAACACCTACGGGCAGTGAAGTATGCCAAATAAGTGTCGGGCCTACTGGGTTAGTTTGGACATCAACCATAAATGGTACAGCGTTAGTAAGAATCGGTGTAGGTCGCGATAACTTACAAGGCGATTCCTGGGTGTCAGTCAATAGTCCTGGAGAGAGTTTAAGAATAACTCAAGTATCCGTTGGAACATGTGCTGTTTGGGCAGTGACTCAAGATAAGCAGATATGGTTTAGGTGAGAATAAATATATGAATATTTTTATGTACATTGTTCAAATTCTAACAAATGTAAAGTAAAATCTTTATATTCCGAAATTTGTTCATCCGACACATTCAGTATTGCGACAATCTCTTGGCGTCTACTGGCGAACATTTTGATTAATCGCAACAGTGCAAGATTCTTTTATATGTGTCTATGTATTTATCCTAATAATTAGGTATATGATTATTTTCTTTCCGTGTCATAATTTGTTGATTAACGTTAAATAACGTTAATCAAAAATGTAGGATCAACATATCGCTGGATTTGACAATATTTATTAGTTTTTGCTGTCTTCGTATTTTTTGTTGTTTGTTTTTATTTAGTGATGTCATCAACATCAAATAAACGAAACCAAAGAATACTTACGTGAAATTATAAATGTGCCATAATTTTGCGCCACGAGCGTTGTGAAACACCCACTCTGTGTGATATGTATGCACGCGTCTCTCCCTTATCGGGAACAAAGAATTTTAAATAATATTTTAAAAATAAATGTGCAAATTATTTATTAACCTACTTACTACACAAACACATAACTCGCATAATCAAACCTCAATAAAACACTAGATCCAAGACTCTGACCCATTAGTATATATAAATTGATCCTTTACGTTTGCTAAGGACGATTATATTTAGATTATATTTAGATTTGACGATTTGGACCTGATTGAGAATCCAACTCCAAGTAGTTTTTCTTTATTGGATGATTTGGAGATTACAAGAGAAACAAATGAAAACTCTCACTGTCTTAATACTCAAATTAATTTAAATTGTACTAAATTTAAACCTATTTTTAAAAACTTTATTACAGCTCCACCTCGTGGGAGACCCAGCTCGGCTGTTTAGACTTCACGCACTGAGTATACCCAATAAGAATTTATTAATTTCATACTTTGATTAACATTACTATTTTATTCTTCAATAATTTACAAAACTACATAGATATCTCTCATTTACCAGAACAACGTGTGATCATAAAAAATATGATTTTTTTATTATCCATTAAATAAATCCGCCGTATTTGATTCTATATACTGCAAAAACGTGGTATTTTTAACATAAAAGTAAAGTGAGGGACAAAGACAGAAATGATGTAACAAATCATCTTGTAGCGAATTATAACTAATTATAACTGTGTTTCGAAAACGAGTTTTTAAAAATTATTTTATTTTGAAAATACAAATTTACAAATTATGTAGCAAAAGTTCTTAAACAAAAGTAAAGCAAAAGTTATGAAGCAAAAGTTATCCTAATTGAAATGTTCCTCTATTTATAATATAGTATTGTAGCTTGCTCAGGTTCAATGAATCTATAGGTGGCGTTGATTACATTCTCCATATCTCTGCTTAATTTAGATATACCATTTCCACAGTTGTATATTTCAACATCTCCCGCTGTTGGTCAGTTGGTCTTGATAATGCTTTGACATTTTAATTTTATGGTTCTCTCATTAACTGTGGGTTTAACTGAACTATTTGGATTATACCGCATTTATCACTCTGCTTTCAATTTTGATTTTTAATTCTTAGTATTTCAATTTCATAGTTCGATTTCTTCTTTTCAACAGTATTGATAGTGCTTGGTAAACTCGGTTTCATCGTTCTTGGCGTGTGTCTGAAATAAGCTACTACGGAATTTTTAATATTCGTCTCTCTCTGATACACAGATGCGTAATTCAATTGTGCGAGTCACGTTCGTCATGGTAAAGTGCGATGGGAAGGGAATGAAGAGACCACTCACGTCTCCCAGTATTGTAGCAATAACACCGATGCGTTTGGCCGATACGGTGTCGGTGATAAGTTCGGCCTCTTTACGAATACAGATAGCTGCCACTGGAGGAGGTAAACGAATCGAGCTTAGACAAGGAAAGACAGATGAAACAACTTATCGCAAGTGTTTTTACACGCACACGCCAAGAAAGATGAAAACGTCTATAGACCCTTTTATTGTAGTCAACCAGCCACTATCTAATAGATTGTTTAGTATATTTCTTGCATTCATACTCTACGTCCACTTCAGTTGCCCTCAAACTAACACCCTAATTATTATAGACAGGTTTGAGTGTGAGATCTGGATTATGCAATCTACTTAAAATATTCTGTATAATGTCATATTCCATCAGTGGATTTCCCTTAGTAGTGCCAGTTGGAAATTTGGTCAATGCTCAGTTTCATAGAATTTTGAAATGTGCAGATCACATCACCATGATTGTGACTGCCCATCCAAGCTGTCATATGTCACATGTCACCTTAACATTTCCGTTAAGGACATGAGCCATTCTCTCTCCTGATGCCACCAATATGTAGCTTCGCCGGTTTTTTTAAATTAAAAAAAATTTAAACTATTTGCCCTTGTGTCGTGTAGTGTTAATGTACAATTTTATGTTTATGACATTCTCAATAGATTGTTGGATAGGCCAAATTTGACGAAGTAAGTCTAAAACGATATATTACATAAAAAAACTTTTATCAACTTCGAGTTTTTTATCGAAGTTAATTTTCTTCAGTTTCTTGGCTTATTTCAGATGCCCCTAAATATGCGCTAGGAATCGAAAGTACTTGGGCAAGATTTAATTAATAAACTGTGCTCGATATCTGCCTTTCATTTGATCAAAGTACAGCTCAATTTATTAAATTATGATACATATTGGAAAGATCTTTGATGTCAGTCTTATTTTATTAATAGAATTTGGATATTATATCCAAATTTATGGTTTAAGTTTTTCTTAAACCATTATAAAGGTGTTTCTACCATTACGCCGAATGTCTTAACAATCTAGTTGCTAGCAGAAGACGTGTTTAGTGAAATGTACGGAGTAGATACCTAGTCTTATAGTAAATCTTACAGACAAAATTGAAAACTTATAGAATCCGTTGTAGGTTAATCGAAAAAGGGAAAATTTAAAGAGGTATAGATAATAAATATAATGGTGATGGTATAATATAATAAATCGTTATAATGATAAAAAATTAAACTGTTGATTTTACAGGAAAGGTGTTAAAGGAGAAGGAGCCAGATTGAGTGAGGAATTGTCTACGGGGAGTGGTTGGATCGAGATGGTGGGACGAATCAGTCAGGTATCTGTGGCAGCTAATGATCAAGTGTTTGCGGTAGGTGCTGATGATCGTCTTGTATATCATAGAACTGGTGTCTGCCCTGAAGATTTAACAGGAAAAAGATGGCATGCATTACGCGCTCCTCTTCAAGTTAGCAGAGCTAGTAGTAATGCAAGTCTAAATAAAGATAAGTTCCATAGGAGCTATACTGCTTTGGTAAGTTTCATTAATGTATTTATTAGTTCCTTGTTAATTATTATTATTGTATTATGTAAATAATCTTAGATATTAAAATATCTTAGATATTTTTATATAGGGTTAAGTCACAATTGTTTGTAATGAGAATTACTTGGTTTGTCAAATGTTGGTTTTATAAAAAAATTCAAAGCGGACTGTAATTAAATGTAAAAATCTTACCTTGTTAACTGGTAGGCTCGAATTCTAAAATTTCTTGAGTTATAAACGTAAGGAAGGAAGGAAAAATGAATATTTTATTTTAATATAACTGAACCGGCGCGAATGAAAATGAGATGAACATTGTGAATGATCTTAACCTGTAAATATTTATAATAATTGGCGGTGGATGGTGATACTAATTTGACAGTTGACTTACTTGGCCTCGATCTTGTAGACATCAGCTATGTTTTGAGGTCAAAATTCTGAGAAGTATAGTTTTACCCTCGGATTGATATCAAATTCTGATATTGATGTTGTCTGATATTGATATTGATGAACACAACAAACTCTGGACAGTGTTTGAAGTACACAATATGAACGAGGACGCGTTGCTCTTAGTCAGAGGAGATGTGTGTGTATGTATGTATGTGTGTATGTATGTGTGTATGTGTGTGTATGTGTGTTGTTCTTTGGACATTCTTACTAGCGCATAAACAAATTGAAGAGAAGAAAAATTAGGAGATGATAGTTACTAGTGCTGAACCAGAAATACCGGATAAACAATATCAAACAATAATAAACAAAATCATAAATAATTTGCCAAAACAGACGCCATTTTGTCTTTTCTTCGGAAGACGAGGAAAACTCTTAAACCAAAATAAATATATAAACAAAATAAGAAGAACACCACATCTACCTTGTATACTCGTTCAACAAACCTGTTAGCAATTATTTATGTGTGGTAAAAGAGAAAAGGATTGTTCGAGAAATCGAAGTAGTCCATTAAATTTAAAACGAGGTCTTGTGCTTGTGAGGTATGAGTTTTTCCAGGGATAATCTAAAAAAATTTAATAGAATATTTTCTTTTTGTCATCCTCTTCACTTTTGCTGAAACAAAACCATTCCTTAACTGTGTGAATGAGGTTAACTTTGTATATAAATTACATTATATACCTAAATTAAAAGCAAAATAAATACAGTTACCCTAAAATTTCAAACTCCAATATAAAATTAGTTATGAAAACAACTGTTTGTGTAATATAAATAACTTCTATAAATATCTACATACAAAGTCAGTGTTGTATATAAAAAACAATGATGATAAAACATGCAACAGAAATTACGGGATGTACCCCTTCAAAAACACTGTACTGCACTGATACATTTAGAAGAGAAATAAAAATGAGATATGTTTCGTTTTTCATATTAACCACCAAACGAAAATTTTCAGCTTAATAATTATCTGGTGAAGCAGGGATACATAAAAAAGATAAAAATTTACAATGACTTGTAGGCGTGTTTATCTATGCCCACTGCAAATAAGGATGACCATTCTGCACTAAACTAACCTTTACTTTTGATTTAATTCGTACTATTTTATTGTTTGCATACTGTCACTAACACGGCTAATTAAAAAAATTTGTCTGCGCGATCTAATTCACACATCAACACAATCTCAGCAGTAAAAATTTCCTCACCTTATCATCATCAATTGTGCTACAGCCCTATGAAAGAGCCTCGACCTTCACAAGTCTATTACGACAGTCAGTCCTATCCATTGCCAACCTTTGCCAGTTTGCTGCGCCTATCTTTCTACCATCCTCATCTACACCATCCTTCCATCTGACTTTTGGCCTACCACTTTTTCTACTTCACACGGGTTGTGACATAAGGATTCTTCTAGGAGGGTTGTTCTGCTGTGATCTTTCTAGATATCCTGCCCATCTTAGTCTTCCTATTCTTATAAGAGATACTACGTCTTTACCACCAAACATTTGTTTATACCTGTGGTATACCTCGTAGTTGTATCTCCTCCTCCAAACACCATTTTCACAGATGCCACCAAATATTCCTCTCAGGATCCTTCGTTCAAATATAAGCAAAAGGTCTTCGTCTGCCTTGGAGATGGTCCATGTCTCCGATCCATATGTCAACACTGGCTGTATAAGGGTTTTGTATATAGTTATTTTTGTTTTTTGGCTTAAGTTTCTACTTCTCATATGTCTACTCAGTCCAAAATAGCATCTGTTTGCCATTATTATCCTTCCTCACCTTTCCTCACCTTATCAAATTGGAAACCTTATACAGAATGGAATTTTAAAAAATGAATTAAAACGTTATAGTTTCTTGGATCGTTACAATGTGTACAATATTTTTCTTGTTACAATTTTTTTTTTGTTTAATAGGGTGAGAGCTGCTTTTTTGATTTTTCTCTTTTTGTTGTCTATGTCTGTCACGACTATTGATGCATATTTTCATTGAACTCTTTGTTAATAATTATCCTAAGCATGTTTGCATCTCTGAGATGTATCAAAGTATCTCTTTTTAATGTAAGATTGATAATCATTTATCCTAACACTTAGTGGTCGTGAAGTTTCTTCCAGATAAAATTTGTTGCATTTGCAATATACTTTATAAATACAGTTAGTTATTTGATCTTTCCTGTATGTTGTTGGGTTTCGTTTTAAATAACCTAAATCTCAGTGTATTGGTTGTTAAATATAGTGTATATTGTTCTGCTATATTTATTTCTTATAAATTTTATTTTTTCTGATAAACCTTTTACATACGGTATTGTTGGTTTCTTCAAATCCCTAAATTATCTTACCGTCGTTCACCGTAGTTGTTTTTATTCATTATTATATTATTATGTAAATTTTTTTATTATATCACCTTAGCTAGGGAATTGGATGTTGATCAAATGACTAAAGAGAATATGTTTTCATCTCTATTTTTACCGAATCCACTTTTAAATAATGCAGTAACATTACATGACAGTTGTTGCATTATTTAGGAGTACATTTTCAAACAACCGGAAACATTACACAGTTTTCTAAAGAACCGGGCTTTATATGTATACACCAAGGTGCCTTATTTACTACCTTTAATGGTAATTAACAACAATTTCAGTTTAACATACATTTATTTGACCTTTTGAACGATTTCCGAAGTGGAAATCGAAACATCAATGTTGCATTATCCTGTTTTAAAACAACTGTTTCTACTTTTGTAATAGGAGTACATTCTTATGTTTATAGCAATCTAGACCTAGCAGCATGATAGAACAGTCTGCCATAACAGAGTGGGACAACCATCCACATTCGGCACCATCGGCGCCAGCTTCTCTACCTGTAGGCGATTTAAGTACGAAGTATGAAATTCAACCGAAAAACCCTAAGGCTTGGAGTCCCGTGCATTCGGTAGGATCAATAGTAGGAATGGAAGTACATCCAGAAACTGACGAGAGCGTGTGGAGCGAATCTAGTCGTGACTCCTGTATTTTTGCAGACGATGAAGAACTTGGATGGGCTGAGTACGAAGCTCCTTGGTCTTGTGTAAGTACTTGCATTATTATTTTATGTACTGTCGGTTTATGTTTTATATTAGAATTTTTTAGCATTGAGATATTCTTATAATATCTTCTTCCAGTACCCTATCATCAATGGACATTTTTGATCATTTTAGCTCACATAAATTTGTTTACAATGATTCTGAATAGCTCTAAAAAAATTTTTATTATTCCACTCTCCCAGATTTCTGAGCCGCGAGATTGTCGTCTTCGCAGCACTCTCCTTTCTTTTAATTTCTTCTTTATCGTTCGATCGTTCATATTGTAACGTTCAAACTGAAAATCGAATTTAATTAGATCGAATCGTTTATCTTCAACAGGTTCGAAACAAACTATACGGAACACCCGTAAATTAAAAAATTTACTCTCCTTTTTATTTAAATTAAAAACTTTTAGCTCCCGCGCCAAGAACAAAGCGCACGCTATTGACAGAACACGCTTTGGTGAATAATTTTCGTTAATTATAGATTAGAGATCGAAATATATATATATATATATATTATATATATATATATATATATATATATATATATATATATATATATATATATATATGATTGGTTAGAGCGCATTCCCAACCCCCGAAAGACGGGAGTCACCAGGCTTCTTAGCGGCAAATCTCAAAGTCACCACTCGTTTTCTGGAGGTGAAAGTGGCCAGTCGTTTTGTAGTGCATTGTGAAAACATCATATGTTCGCAGGAGACACCGACATCCACATTCCTTGGGTCTCTGGACGAGATATTCCATTTTTAATATAAAGTTATTTATAATATCTGAAAAGACTAAGCAGTGCACCACGTGGTTGGACCATTTTTATGTCTCTTTGATGAACGTAAAAGTAAGCGTGTCCATTAATAAGTTCTCTTGCCGTGTGTATGTCTTCAGCGGTATACGTTTTCGTTTTTGGGTGTGGCCGCAAATATTTCTTGCCGTGTGCACTTCTTCAGCGGTGTATGTTTTCATTTTTGGGTATTTAGTAATTGTGACTATTTTGGTAGCCTGCAGCTTTGTGTCACCTTCTCATCAGCAACTCCTTATATAAATATACTATATAAATCACATGTAATAAAATAGGTTGGTAGATGTTGACTTTGATAGTCTAATATCTCGGCTTATTATATGGATCGAAGTATTTAATTTTTGATATCTGTGAAAATAAAATTTGTAACTGATCATACATATTGGGTTTTCTATTTCACGATGGTGCCTTTAGTGAGAGATCTTCTCATCGGTTAAATTGATGTGTTGTTTGGCCACAAATTCTTTAAAAATCCTGTTTCCAGTCCATATTAATGTTAGGTCCTTCCCTTCTAGGTGACTAATATTAAGAATTGGTACAGATATGTACCAATTAACAGCTTCTTGTCTGTCAGATGAATGAAATGAAATTTGTAGAAAAAAAATACTTTCTTATTTTAAAGGTAGAGTCTGGTGCATGCACTGTGGACATACCTCAACTACCAAACTGGTTCGGAGACTCAGATGCATACAATCCAAATGCCGATTTTGATCAACCTTGGAGAATCAAAATACTGGATGATTTGAAAGAACGACTTCCTAATAGGGATACTTTCACAGAATATGAACTAGCTGTTAATACCACTTCCTGGATGCATGCAGGAGAAGCCAGAGTTAGTATTAATGCTTCAAGTTTTTCTGACTGCCTTTTGCAACTGGAATGGATTGAGAATAATGGAATTTTAACTATTTTGAATCCGGATGGAGCTACTGCTATGGTAAGTAGTAATTTAATTTGTATAGATGGTATATAAGAGGAGAAAAAATATATCGAGCATAACCGACGAAGTAAGGAAATTTAATTGCTATATTAATATTTTTAATTTTATATCTTTTGTCAGTATGAAACTAATATGATAGATAGTCATGATCTTCAATGGTAGTAAGTTTGGTTTATCTTTATATAGTATAACTAGTTTGTCGGTCCAAATTACTTTTCACAATCATTTCAATCCAAATTTATCATGTTATTCATAGTAACTCCATCCTTGAACGAATCTTCTTGATAATCCATTTTTGTTCGAATAGGCTTTTAACTAATAGATTTTTTTCAAGAGTTTTCTAGATTATTCCAATTTATGCTTTAAGTAATTCCCTTTTAGTAATTCAGAATTCGACTCAATCTTCTATATGTTTGTCTGTATATGACAGATAAAAAATCTGGTAAAATTTCAGAGGACTTTTTTTGGACGTTAATGGACAATAATATTATTCACAAAAATATTCACTAAACCACATGGCAATCGCCAGACGGTCAGACAAAAAACCAAATTGACCATGTACCAATTGATAGTCGACATTTCTCGGACATACTAGATGTAAGAGCATGTAGAGGTGCTAATATAGACTCTGACCACTACTTTGTAAGAACAAAACTTTGGGCTCATATATCAAACGCTAAGAAGGGTCAGAGCACAAAATCTACGAAATATAATATTGAGCTGCTAAAATCTGAAGACGCTAGGGATAACTACAGGAAAATTTTAAATAAAGAACTGACAAGAATCGACGAAAATTTAGGTATAGAAGAACACGGGACCAAATGCAAGGAAGCTATCCATACAGCGGCTTTTTAAAACCTAACCAGGCTAAAATAAACGAAGATTGGTTCGACGAAGAATGTATATTCATTAACCAACAGAAAAATGAAGCATATAAGAGACTTCAGCAGAGCAGAACGAGATCAAACCTGGAAGACCATGAAAATCTTAGACGAGAAGAAAAAATGACGTTTAGAAGGAAAAAGAAAGAGCCATACGAAAACCCTCTAAACGAGATTGTTAACCACCACAATAGAAAAGCCTGGCAAAAATTCTACCAGAAGATAAACAGCTGCAGAAAAGAATTCAAACCCAGAATAACAGCATGTAAAGACAGAGATGGTTCCATAATTAGTGACAAAGAACAGATACTAAACAGGTGGGCAAATCATTTTGAAGAACTGCTTAGCGACAGTCGTAAAGAAGACCAAATAGAAATTACTTTGCCTGAATTGGATGAAAACGCTCAAGAGCCGCCCCCACCGAAGAAAAAATTAGAGATTTCTCTAATTAGAGAGCCATTTCAATAACAAAGCCCCTGGTTTGGACAATTTTCCTGCCAAACTCTTTAAAAATGGTGCTGACACCCTTTTTAAACACATGCGTAAATTAGTAACCGAAATCTGGCAACGGAAGGAAACGCCCGCAGACTGGAAATTAGGTGTAATTGTAATTAATTAATTAGGTGTAATAAAAATTGTAATTAATGTCTTCACAAAAAGGGAGATATGATGGTGTGTGATAATTTTAGAGGCATCACCCTACTTAACGTGGCATATAAAGTATTAGCCAACATATTGTACAGAAGATTGATCCCTATGCTGAACAAATAGTTGAGAACTACCAGTGCGGTTTCCGACCCAATAAATCAACAACGGATCAAATTTTCACAGTCAGGCAGATTCTTGAGAAAACGCTTGAGTTCGGAGTAGACACCTCCCACATATTCGTGGATTTCAAAGCCGCATACGACTCAGTCAACAGACAAAAACTTCTACAGGCTTTGGTGAAATTTCAAATGCCGCTTCATCTTGTTCAACTAACGGAATTTACACTCACAGGCGTAGAGAGTGTTGTCAGAATCCAAAAAGTCTTTTCATAAAACCCTTCCATTGTAAAAATGGACTGAGACAGGGAGATGACTGTCGTGTCTCTTATTTAACCTTGAATTAGTAGCACTAGAAAAAGTAATTCGAGAGTGCGATATTAATACGAATGGCACCATCTTTAATAAATATGTACAAGTGGTCTGATCGAAACATTTCGATCATTAAGGGGGTCTGCACTGAGAATGGGATTATAAACGCATAGAAAACCAAGTATATGTATATTTTTCTGAAGCTATTTTCTTGTGGCATTTTAAAGTAATTACTATTTAAATGGGAATAAGCCACAATAAAAGATTAAAGTACGTTTATTGACGTTTCAATTTTCACTTCGGAAATCGTTTGTATTTTGAGAATCAGATACCTAGACTATTAATTGATGATCTGGATCTGGAAGGTGTAGACACCTTCGTCTACCTGGGCGCGCTGCTGATCAAAGACAACAATGTCAGCGGAGAAAATAAAAGAAGAATAGTGCTTGCCAATAAGTGTTATTATGGCTTGAAGAAACAGATGGCTAAAAACTACCCAGAAAGTTACCATATATAAAACACTAATAAGGCTAGTGTTAACATACGGGTCAGAAACGTGGTCACTTACACAGAACGACCAAGAATTGCTTAAACGTTTCGAGAGAAAAATTCTAAGGAAAATATTTGCAGGAGTCCAAGAACAGGGTTTGTGGCGTAGACGCTACAACTTTTAGTTATACAGAAGTTTTGGGGAACCTGACGTTGTAAAATGTATTAAATTAGCACGCCTTCGATGGATAGGACATGTAATTAGGCGAGGTGAAGATGCAACGATCAGATTTTCGACAAAATTTTCGACCGAAGAGGACCAGTGGTAAGACGAGCCAGAGGAAGGCCAAAACTTAGGTATCAAGATAACATAGAGGATGATCTAAAATCCATCGGAGTTAAAGCATGAAGAAGAGTTGCCAGAGACAGGGGCGAATTCAAGATTGTTTTGAGAAAGGCTTTTGAGCATTACAGCTCGTTATAAGCTGATGAAGAATGGACAATAATTGTAAGTTAAAAAAAAAATACAATGATTAGCGTATTTATTTTTTCGATATTTCTTTTTTATTTTCTTAAGAATTTTCTTAAGGTTAATCTTTATTTCAGCATTCTTTTAGTCTTGCCGATATAGTATGCGTTCGACAATGCAGTGATCCTGGTAATCCGCGCTTAGCGATACATATTCCTAGACATTCAGCTAGGATCATCAAATTGCAGTTTAGTAGTGATGCTCTTCTAGAGGAATGGCAAGCGTTATTTGCTACGAGTTGTGGAAAAATACACGACACTCTAGGTAATTTTTTTTACTTTATTCATATATATATATATATATATATATATATATATATATATATATATATATATATATATATATATACAAAAACACTAGTTTATTAGGGCTGCAGTCAGAAAGTTGGCCGAGATGTTACTGTAATATATGTAATATATATAAAAAATTTGTAAATATTTAAAAAATATCACAATTTGTCAGTGTTACTTACTAGTCGTTGAGATTATTTAAAATAAACTTGGACACTCAACATTAACAACACAAATATAAAATATAATAATGGACAATACATTCTAAAAAATTTTTGGCTACCCCATAGGGCTTTTATATAAACTCATTTTCGGTTCTCCTTTCCCATCACAATTTTCTAACAACCAAAATTTCCATAACAATGAGGTCCGACAATTGACATTGACAGAAAACACATCAGTAATACCATCTAAAATAACTTACGGCTCCTTACATATATATATATATATATATATATATATATATATATATATATATATATGATTTCTTTTCGTATAGCATCTTTTTGTGTATATATTTTTGTATTTTTGTAGGAAAACCAAGCGATGAAAGTGTTTGGGCTGTAACGAACCTCGGAGACGTCTTCGTTTGGGATCCGACCCATTTGGAGTCAAATCAGCTGCGAGAAGACGACGTTTATGTGCAGAAATTCGATTTAAGTAGAAAAGAATCACCGTTTAAAGTGGCCTTACACGTTGGATGTATACCAGGCACAATTATAACTCTGAATGGTTGTGTAGGGGACGAAGCGGGAAGAATTGCAATAAATCTAGAGGCTCCGCTGACTTACAAACTTAAGCATAAGGCGCATACGGAAATAGAAAATGTTTGCTTGCATATTAATCCACGTTTCGCCGAAAATCAGGTTATAAGGAACGCCATGATTGATGGTAAATGGGGCGAAGAAGAAAAATTCGGTGACAATCCTTTTGCTAGAGGACAAGAATTTAATCTTAAGATAGAGACGACTGAAGACGCTTTTATTATTTTTGTGAACGATCAAAAATTTACTTCATTTAGACACCGCCTTCCTCCCCAGTCGGTGTCTGTATTAAGTTATTGGGGAAAAATGCAACCATTTAAATTGATTATAAAAAGTCCAATATTAATTATGGATATGTTAGATTTATACTGGAGACAAATCGGAGGGCACTTGAAGAGAGTTGAAAGTTGCCCTGTAGGTGTTACTTGGGGTATAGGATATGACCATACTGTATGGGTATATACAGGCGGATGGGGCGGGGGTTTTCTGGGTACCTTAGACAGTAATAATGTACATCCAATGGCTGATTCGCAAGACTATAGAGTATACGAAAACCAGCGTTGGAATCCCGTTACGGGTTATACTTCTGCAGGTGAGTAACTTAGTGTAGTTTTCTTTATTAATTTATGGTCTGTACTTAACAAACTTCTACTTTTACAAACTGAAAATTAATGTGTACTAAACTCTTACAAGATTGAATAAATAGTGAGAACGGTTTATATATGAATGGGCCATCCTTAAGTGCAGTATTTTGTAATTGTAATGTGCAGAGCCAACATGTCTACAGTCGACTCACGTATTGCTCGTCAAGGATTGATATAGATTTCAAACAAATGTCGTCTTTAGTCCGAAAAGAATTAGATTCTGAATTTGAAAAAAAAACTTTTATTCTATAGTTTGAATCTTTCCGTTTGTAAGAAACAATTACTAACTTATTATTAAACTATATACAGATGCGTCTAAATCTCCAGATGGAACCGGATGCGCTTTTTTTATACCATCGGGTCATATAGAAAAGAAATTCAACCTGAACCCAGAGACTTCAGAAAATACAAAAAAAAGCTGGAAGTCTTTGAAAGAAAAATCTTAAGGAAGATATTTGAACCTAGTAACGAAAACGGAGTATGTAGATCCAGATATAACCATGAACTCAAAGGCACCGACCTCAGAATTCATTAAGCCTCAGAGATATCGATGGCATGGCCATGTAGTGAGAATGGAGGCCGAAAAGAGCCCTACGTAGTAAAATTCAGGGCGGAAAACCAAAAGGAAAGCCTTGGAAAAGGTGGGAGGATGAAGTGACAGCGGAAGCGTAAAATTTGCTAGACTTAAGAACTTGAAGCAGATCTTTAAGAAGTTGGAAGCATAGTTTGGAGGAGCTTAAGGCTCGATTTGAATTGTAGTGCCATTGCAGAGATACAATATACGGAAGATAATTTGTAAACTTGGACGTGTGAAATAAAAATATAAAACAAATTTGAACTGTAATAAAAATGCACTCGATAGATCAGCATATCCTATCTAGACTCTTCCGCGATAATTCGTTGACTTTACGCCAACTCTGTATTCTTTGTAAAACAAAATACATTTATTCAATATTCACTACTTGTACAATATTTACTACGTGTACTTGTACTTTACTTTAGGTAAAGTAACAAACTTAAGGGAGAGCGCCCACCAAAGTGGCGTGGCAGTGGCAAGTAGCAAGTAGCACGCGTCTAGCATAATGTAACCAATGAAAACGAATGATTCAGTTTACACCAAAATGACAGTAACGTCATTCATTCTAATCATTCGTTAGGATTGGTTACATTATGCTAGACGCGTGCGACTTGCTACTTGCCACTGCCACTCCACTTTGGTGGGCGCTCTCCCTAAGCCTAAGTTTAAGTTTATAAAAAAAATCAATAAACATATTGTATAATTCCCTTCTCTTAGATTTATTCACTATCTTCCACTATGAATAACTTGTTCTTCTTCATCTTTTTATGGAGACATGACTCTGTCTCTTTTTTAATGTGCCTCCAGTAAGTTGTCGTTCCATCGTTTTCGTGGTCTTTATACTGATCGTCTTCCTATTGGGGAACCGTCTCTTGCCGTCTTTACTACTCTATTTGTTGTCATTCGGCTTATATGATCGTTCCATTCTACTCTTCTATTTCTTACCAAGTCCTTGACGTTCTCCACCTTGCATCTATGTCGTATATCTGTACTTCTAGCTCTGTCCTATAGTGTTTTACCATTAAATTTTCATCTTTGCCGTTTCTTACATCATTTTTGTCCTCTCCATCTCATCCAGTATACGTGTCTCTGCCGCGTATTTCATTATTGGTCTGATGACTGTTTTGTAAATTCTGCCTTCCAATTCTCTCCCGATATTTTTATTTCTCCATATTGTTTCATTCAGGCATAATCTGGCAACATGGCCGGAGAAGAGAGTGCCGCGAATTGCGATCTAATTAAAACTTGCAAAGGTTGCGAAAGAAATGTTGTTACCACTATTGTCAGATGTGTAACGTGTAAAGCAGTTTTCCATCCATCTTGTGCTCTAAGGGTAGCTGGCTTGGTAGTTGTTGTCAAAAATAATTTAGTGAAATGCTGTGCTATAGAAAGTGAGGTTATACCAGAACAAAACTTTAACGAAAACAGCAAAATGCTGCTAGCTGCCAAAGAAGAATTACTTAAAAGTAAGGATGAACTTATTTCTGAATTAAAAGCTAAAGAGCATGTCCTATTAGAAAATATTAAACTATTAAAAGAAAATATATCATTATTAAAGATGAATACTGGCAACGTTGCAAATAAAAGTTACAGTTCTGCGGTTGCTACGCCAATACCACAGAATAATAAACAAACAGAATACCCACTCTCCACGGAAAATTAAGTACGCGCATCTCCTCCGCGCAGACGTTCCGCCATGTTTTAGGAGGATTTTAAAGAAATTAGTGTTGTTTATGTGGTGTGCATGGAAAAATTAACCAGGTTTATTTGACTTACGGCAATCATAGACATACTATACAATTATATTAACATTGTTAAATATAAGAACATAAATATAATATAATTAAACATAAATATAAACAATTACATAACCACACAAATCATATGTCTGTGTCCTCCTAAAACATGGCGCGCGTGCTGAAAAACTTCAAAGGCGGCATCTGAGAGTTGCCCTTCTGATTGTTTATTATTCTGTGCCAATACCACAGACACAGAACATTGCTGTCAGGCAGATATCAGCTGACGAATTAAATTCAAAATCAAAACAAAACATTAACCAAACGCATCAACAAAATACAGACGTTAATAAACAGAACTTAAACGCTGGTATTCTGCATGCTCATACGGCTAATAAAATGCAAGAAATAATAAATTTAGGCCACACAGAAAAATCATGAAGGAGATTGGCAACAGCAGCATAGAAGGAGATACCGCAAGTTTATGGTTGGGAATAATGAAGAAACCAAGGATGTGCAGTCAGTACCTAAGTGTGTATCCCTTCATGTAACTAGGCTTGCACCAAATACGACCACAGAAGACTTGAAGCGGCTTTTAGACCCCAATTTTAAGGATGTACGGTGTGAGTCTCATCCATCTAAAACACCCTGAACTTTATACATCCATGAAAGTTACCATCAGAAGAGATGAACTAAAAAAAGCTTGGAAGAGGGAAGTATGGCCATCTGGTACCCTCGTGTCTCATTTTTTAGTAAAAACGAGGATGCCAACAAGGCAGATGGATCCTCAGAATCAGAATTAATTATGCAAACATTGCAGACCCAAAATCTAAACATTTTCTATCAAAATGTACTAGGCCTACGCACTAAAACAAGTGACCTATATACCAATGTTCTTAGTGAAGATTTTGATATAATCCTATTAACTGAAACATGGCTTATAGATGGAATCTCCAATGAAGAACTTTTTGATAATCGCTACATAGTCTTTCGCAAAGATAGAGCCAGTGGCAAGACATTGGGTGGTGGAGTTATGGTAGCATTAAAAAAGAAATTTATTGTAGAAAGTATTAAAGTTAATTGTAATGTAATTGTTGAGTGCTTGTTACTTAAGGTAAGGTTTAAAACATATTCATTTTATGTCTCCTGTGTATATATACCTCCTGGTGTAAGGTTAGATATTTATGAAGAACTTTTAGAATTTTACTACCAAGTATTGTCAGAAAATATTAATATTATCATATTTGGAGATTTTAATATTCCTGGATTTATTAACTTAAGTTGTGAAAAGGGCAGCATGTTTAAAGAATTTCAAAATCTAAACAATTTAAATCAATATAATACAATTTCAAATTGTAAAAATAAACTGCTTGATCTTACACTGTCAAACGTATCCATAACCAATCTAACTAGGTCTGGGTCTCCTTTGGTACCTGAAGATTATTATCACCCGGCACTAGAAATGTTACTAGAATATAAAGATAATTCATACACTAAGAGTAATATACAACAGTCTTATAGGTATGATTATGCCAGGGGGGACTTTAATCTTCTGTATCAATTAATAAGAGACACTGACTGGTCAGATATGTATAATTGTATAACTGCTACAGATTGTATTAATCAATTTTACGATAAATTATATGACTGTGTAGCGTTTTTTATTTAAAGTGCATATAAAATATTTCTATGGTACGTCCCTGTTGTTTCTACCAAGAAATCGATCAATAAGTTAAATGTAGGTACGTTGTAAATATTTCAAGTTTTTTTTGACGAGATTTTTAAATGCGTATTAACGTTGGAAATATGTTTTTATCTCTGTGTTGCAATGTTAGGTAAAACAAACAGTTTTTTGTCGCCAAAGAGGTGTTATGTTACATGAATTCCCCCTAATATTCCAGTTGACAAAAAGTTGTTTTTCGTTATTAGAATGAGAGTCAAAAAGAATAATTTGTTTATTTAGGATACCAATACTGGCGTCTAAAAACGCAATAAAGGAATATTTAAAAGGTTTTTTTGTCGATACGAGCGAGGGGATATTGTTTTGGTTCTTGAGTTTGTGGGGACAGGTTAGCTGCAAGACGGAAGGGAAATTTTTGGCGAGATTCTGGTAAAATGTAACGAAGCAAAGGGAGTCGACATTTAGATTCCAAACAGGGCAGACATGTGACAAATGGGTCGAGATTTGATCAACGGGGAATGTGTAAAGTCGAGATTTAAGTTCCAAGCGGGGCAGACATGTGGGAATGGAGTAAAAGATTTGAGAGGAAGTGATGAAGAACTTCTCGAAGAAAAAAGTCGTTTAATTGTGATGTTGTAAGCCGGCATTCATTCGCCAAAATGGTGGAATTTTCACTCTAAGTAATATGTCGTTTCTGAAAGAGTGACCAGTAACCACTGTTTTTATTTTGGCTGAAGATTTATGATGTTTGAGCAGTGAACAAGTTTAGTTCCTGTTTGTTTTTCGTTTTTTTTGAGAAATCCAGTTCCTTCCCGAGATGCCCTTTTCACCTCATGTAGAATAATATTGGAGCAGTTTTGATTTGGATGTGCCAGTTTCAGCTTCCAATAAAGCTTTCCGTTGATGTGCAGTTAGATACCCGCAGAAGTTAGCCAGTTGTTCAAAAGTTTAAGTTAAGATGTGTGAACTGAGGTAACATTTACGTTATTAATTTTTAAAGTAAAAATAGACATTTTCTTTTAAAAAGACAAAATTTGCTTTCTTTTATAAATTATTTTTTAAATTATTTACTAGGAACCGTTTCGAAGAGTTTTGTAACCTTTTGTAAACAGATATGTAAGTTTTTTTTTATTTGTATTTGACAGCTAATTTTATTTAATATGCCTTTGTATAAGCTGTATTTTTGAAAACTGTTTGGTGAGACAAAAATAAATGTTTAATTTGTTTCTCTGATCTATTTTGAGTTTTATTTGAAAAAGATATTTTTTTTTCTATATTTTTGATGTTATACAATTATTTCCCTAGTTACAACTAGTGGTTGTAATAGGTATAATTGGGCACCTCAAGTGGCGCCCTATATTAAATTTCTTGAGGTGTTTCCGTTAATTTTCATTCTGTTTGTCCCAAGAGATTTGTATAAGTACCCCTTTATTTCTTTTTTTTGTAGTTGCCCCAATCTAACCCCCAATATCTTCAACTTATCCACGACCCAGCTCTCCAACAACCAACTGAGTGTCCGTATGCACTTGTTTCGATTATTTTGTTTGCCCAATCTTGTCCCCCATATTCTTACCCTGTGGTAAGCAAAATAGTTGTTACAACTGCATTGATCAAGCCATCCCAAAGAAAATTATTAAAAATAGACAAAAACAGAAATATCCAGCTTATTTTAGTATAGACCTTATTAAAAAAATCAGACAAAAAAACAAATTAAGCAAACATATAAAAATAAGGAAAGCTAGTGCTGTCGATAACAATAAATTCAGGAGTCTTAGAAATACTATTAAAAAGCAAATCAAAAATGAATTTATGCAGCATCAAAATAATATTGAAGATAACATTTTGCATGACCCAAATAGTTTTTGGACATTCATAAGAAGTAGGAGACAAACCAATGGTTTTCCTCACGAGATGTCTTTAAATGATCATACCTATACAGGCCCTCAGGCTATTGCCATGGCTTTCTCTCATCATTTTAGCTCAATTTATCAGGTATCATCTACACATCAGGGTAGTTCACAGGGATCTTTTAACTTTTCAGTTATTAGTGAAGAAGATGTGAAGGTTAGTATAAAAAAAATTAAAGCCAAAAAAGGCCACTGGTAGTGATAATATCCCTGCCTATATCTTTAAAGGATGTTCTGATATATTTCAAAAACCATTATCACATCTATTTAATCTATCTCTTAAAACTAACACCTTTCCAGACAAACTCAAAGAGGCTACCATTACTCCAGTTTTTAAATTAGGTAATAGAAACAATATAGAAGACTATCGTCCTATAAGTATCCTTAATTCCCTGGCTAAAATATTTGAATCTATTCTCTATATGAATATACTGAAAAATTTTGAAAATGAATTTGCTCCAGAACAACATGGTTTTTTGCCTGGGTTATCCACAACTAGTAATCTGTGCATTCTTTCTAATTTTGCTAGTGAGGCAATAAATAATAAACTCCAATTAGATTTAATAATGACTGACTGCTCAAAGGCATTTGATATGGTTGACCATGGCATTCTTTTATTGAGATTGAATGAGTTTGGTTTTTCGCATGATGCTTGTACATTTATAAAATCGTATGTGGAATCAAGGTTTCAACGAGTCAAAATTGGTAGGTGTTTATCAGATAAATTTCAGGCTACATCTGGTGTCCCCCAAGGGAGCAACTTAGGGCCTTTGTTTTTCTTAATTTTTGTCAACTCACTACCACAATCTCTTAAATTTTCTTCTAGTCTGATCTATGCTGATGATTTTAAGCTTTTTAAGACTATACATACTTCAAATGATTGTCAGTTACTACAGGAGGACCTGACCTCAGTTGTGGAATGGTTTAGGGACAACAATATGATCTTGAATATTACGAAGTGTGGAGTCATATCCTTCACTCGCAAAATTGATTACATTGAAAATAATTATAGAATTGACAATTGTGTAGTATCTAGGAAAACCAAATGTAAAGGATCTGGGAATATACCTACAGGCTAACATGAAATTTAATGAACACTATATAAATATTGTTAATAAGGCCTACAAAATATTGGGATTTGTAATAAGAAATTCTAAACATTTTAGTATAAACACAACCATTAGACTATATAACGCTTGTTATATAACTAACTAGTCAGACCAAACTTGGAATATGCATCAGTGGTATGGACTCCTGAAGCCAAAGTTCATATTAATCATATAGAAAAGGTACAAAAAAGATTTCTAAGGTATTTATACCTTAAGAAATACAATGTGTATACTCACCTTACGCCATCAAAAGAGTTGCTTCAAATATTTGGCTTGCAGTCATTAGAGCAAAGAAGAAACATGTATTGCGTTGTGTTTATTCATAATATCATTAACAATGTTAAATATAAGACATGTGGTTTGATAAACTTTATTAGGTTTCATGTGCCAAAGGTCAACCTAAGGGTAAACAGTAATGACCTATTTTCTTGTAGTCCTTATAATTCAGGTGCAATAATAAACTATATGCAATATCAGTGCAATGAGTTAATAAAGATCTGTGATATAGACCTCTTTACCTGTAGTGTAAGGGATATTAAAAAATGTTATAAATAAGTATGATAATAATGTACTCAATTTTTAATATTTTATTAACTTGTTTATTTTTATTAATGTGTTTTATTTTGTGTTTTTATTTTGTACTTGTGTGTATATTGTATTTTTTGTGTGTATATTGTTATACCAAGTAATGAGCACTCTTACATGTAATTACTACCTAGGTGGTGTTTGTAAGTTTTAATAATAAAATAAATAAATAAATAAATTCAGGCAACCTGCGACTCTGTTTGGTCTATTCACTTGATCTTCCACTTCTGTTTCGAGCTTTCCGTAGCCAGTTAATGCGATGCCTAGATAATTAAACTCCATCACTTATTTTATCATCTGACTTTTCAGCTTCAATTCACATCTCAGTAAATTTGCTGTTATAACCATGTATTTTATCTTTTTTCGAGGAAATTAGCATGTTACATTTTTGTGGCGGTTATATTGAATTAATGCAGCATTCGTTGTAAATCATCTTCAGTTATAACTTGTTGAAATTCTTTACTTGAGTTGCCTATAGTCAAACAGCACTACCTTAAAAAAACATGCTTTTAGGGAAATAAAAACCAATTTCATCTTATTGTTAAACCACATTTTCTTCTATAAAAAAAGGTCAGATTTGCTTTTAGCACTTTAAAGCGATTAGCGCGCAGTTTGATCCATTTCTATGAACCATCATCGTTTATTACACCTCCATAGATCTTACTCAGCACCTTTCTTTCCTAGCGTTCTAATTTAAGGATGTTCTTTTGACTTAAAACCCAGGTTACTCCGTAATACTTCGTAATTTTATGGTTTCTTCTTTTGTTTCCTGTGTACCTATTTCCAAGCATTTTGTTTCGTCTATATTAATCAAGAGCCCACATTTATTTGCTGCCTCCTCTCGTTTTTTAAGTATATTGTCAAGTTCAGTTTTTGATCTTGTGATAAGCGTCATGTCGTCTGCAACAGCTGTAACTTGCTACTTCCTGTAGTGTATTACTCCTCTGCCTGTCTATCGCTTTCTTTTTCCAGCTGTCGGTTATAAACCACTTTGTGCATTAGCTTATTTGTACATCTTCCATTTATCCACGATACTCATTCCAGAATCCTGGAACCCTATTCCAGCTTTTACAGGTCCAGTGGATTTGTACTATATGTTTTTGGGGTCATTTGGTAGTCTCCAAAAAGTGTTTTCGGCCTCGCAGTCATGCAAGATACGGTTGACTGTTTCAGAATCTCTGCTACAGAATACCAAAAAATATAGCAGGAATTCTTACTGTTACCAGTGTTCTACATAGGGTTTCCCTGACTATCGAATCACAAGTCTGTCTACTATCCACAAAAAATACATGCAGTCCCAGCCTTCGTTCGTTACTATTCTGTACTAATTGTTTAAAAGAGAAAATCTGATCAATTGTAGATCTGCCTTTATGAAACCGGCTTGATGTTCCCCTATCACCTAATGTAGATATGTGCTTAATCTACTTCTTATTAGAAGTATCACTTTACTTAAAATTAAAGTAAGTACCAACTATTGCCTCTAAAATAATAAAAGCATTGCTGGTGATGGTGACTACATATATCTTCATTTAACTATTTTTGTCATTTCCCCTCTGGCTATGTCAAATCATATCTAGATTATGAATGAAGTAACAAAATCTCTAACGCTACTAATCATCCATCAACCGACTAGGTTAAACCTACGAGTAGTCATAGACTAAATAATAAACTACTAAATAATAGTAACATTTTCTATATGATACAGAAATAATGCTTCTCAAATTTGTTTGGTGGCTTTAAATTGAGATTCTATTTTATCTTGCATTTTAGGCTTACCGACCGACAGGTTTATGTGGAGTGATGCCAGCGGTAAAAAGAAACGTACGAGAGATCAAGTAAAGTTGCTTTCGGTTCACTGGCAGTGGGTTTCTGATTGGATGACTGATTTTCACGTACCAGGAGGCGTTGATAAAGAAGGGTGGCAGTATGCTGTAGATTTTCCAGCTACGTATCACGCCAATAAACAATTTACTGATTATGTTCGACGTCGAAGGTAAGTGGATTAAACATTTTTTTAGACATTTCTTAATTTTTGTTGTGCAGTGACTCAGTTTATCATTTCAATTAAAATGTTTGAAATTTATAACATTTGTTTAAATTAATTACCTTATAATTTGATACTTCATTATGGTTGTTCTATTTTTGATAAGATTTGATCGTTCACTAAAAATTTAATAAAAGTGCGACAACATTGTCGCGTATATCGTTTTCATTGGCTATTTATGTAGTTTGAAAATCGCTTATTGCATTTAAATATATATATATATATATATATATATATATATATATATATATATATATATTAATATATATATATATATATATACAGGGTGTAATATTTAATACGAATCCCTAAAATTAATTTTTCCAAAGCCAGTCCTGGAATTTTTTAGTTTAGCTAATACCAGTCGAATGCTTGATAGTAGTATACTGTATCATGCAAAAATTAAAAAAAATCAAATGAGCCGTATAAACACTACAGTAAAATGAAATAAATTGTCAATTACACAAATCACCCTGTTAATTAATAAAGAAGAGGAGTTGACATTTTTTAGTGGCCACATGATATGCCCCCTGAGGGACTCTACATATGGTAGAAGTATGTAAAGTTCCTCATGACTCACCCTGTATTATCATCGCCACGTAAAATAAATGCATTATTTTAAATGCGAGCGTTCACTGTCAGTGCTCTAGGCGAGGATACCAGGCGATAGTCTCCGTAATGAACGCACCCAGTGACGTAGCAGTTTGAGATCTTAAATAAAAATCTTATGTGAAATTTATATGATGCACAGAGTGGAAAAAAATATAATAAAGGTGATATTATTATTGTCCAACATTATACTTCTGTTCTTATTAACAGGTGGTATAGGAGATGTGCTGTTGCCACGACGGGGCCTTGGCAGGAACTGGGACACACTAAAATATTAGACGTATCCCTCGAACCTGTAGGCGATTTTGTAGATTCCGTCGTGGCTGCGTGGGCCCTTGCTACAGGTGGACAGGCGGTGATTAGAGTTGGAGTATCCAAATCCAATCCTGCGGTAAGTTATTGTTCAATTTTAATAAATTCTTAATAATATATTACAATTTAGCTTTTGTTAGATTTTGACCAAAAATTAAATCTTAATAGCAACAAAGTTAAAAAACAAAAACTGACATGTCTGACTATTACACAACCCCTCAATTATTTCTTATTTTTCTTATGATAATTCGGCACTTATAAAAGCCTAAAATATTATTACAAATATAACGGATACAAAGAGTTTTAGACCTGTCTCTCTTTTGTGTCACCTTTTTAAGAGGTTCGAAAAAATGATACTGAACCGGATCGCAGAATCTGTGGATACTAAAATTATTCCTGAACAAGCAGGGTTTAGACCCGGAAAATGCTGCTGCAGTCTTAATCTCTTAATCTCACCCAACACATTGAAGATGGGTTTGAACGGAAAGAAATAACAGGAGTAGCGTTCATAGACCTGACTGCCGAGTATGACACACAGTTAACCATCAACGGTTGCTGGTAAAACTCTACGAAATTACAAAGGATTTCCGACTAACAAGGTTAATGAAATGTCTTCTCCAGAATAGACGCTTCTGAGTAACGTTCCAGTCCAAGAACAGTCGGTGGAGGGATCAAAAAAATGGACTCCCACAGGGAAGTGTCCTCGAGCCATTGCTATACAACATTTACATCAACGACCAACCCAAAAACTAACAAACAAGACAGTTTATTTACACAAATGATACAGCTGTGGCAGCTCAAGGAAGTACCTTCAATAAAGTCAAAGTAAAACTGACAGATGCCCTAGAAGTCTTCACTATACTATGACGAAAACCATCTGAAACCCAATCCTACAAAAATCCAGGTGTGTGCTTTTCACCTTAGAAACAAACATACCCGAAGGACACTGGAGTTGGAATGGCGTGGTCAGATGCTACACAATGAGACGCCAAAATACCTCGCCGTAAAAATGGGGAGCACAACCACACACTCTCCGTACTTCTGCCTTCTCCATTGGACCTTTTTGAGTGGCTTTGAGTTTCGATATTATCACTTTCTTTTGTCCAAGTTTCCCGTATGTCGTGATTGGTATATGCATATATATATATATATATATATATATATATATATATATAATATATATATATATATATATATATATATATATTATAAGGATCACTCAGAAGAGTGGTGGGTTCTTATATCGGTCTCAAGGTGGAGAAATAAAAGACAAAGTTGATAGGCTACTTTATCTATTTTGAAGACGTTTCGCTTTCGTATTCTGAAAGCATCATCAGTGCATCTTAAAAAGACATGTAGCAGTCAAAGATATTAACAAGTTTGTGAATAAAACTGAAGTAAATGGATATTATACGGTAGTATTGTATAAACAATCAATTAACTAACAACACTTAGCAACTTATTAAAAAATTAGCACAGCAACTGACCATGTGGTCTAAAATATGAGTAATATTTTATTTTATCTTAAGTACTTAAGTAGTGAAAAAGAACCAAGAAAATCATAGATTTACTTCCAACTATTTGACCAGTACCAAGTACCAAGTAAATCTATGATTTTCTTGGTTTCTTTTTCACTACTTAAGATAACATAAAATATTACTTAAACTTTAGACCACATGGTCAGTAGCTGTGCTAATTTTTTAATAAGTTGCTAAATGTTGTTAGTTAATTGATTGTTTATACAATACTACCGTATAATGTCCATTTACTTGAGTTTTATTCACAAACTTGTTAATATCTTTGACTGCTACATGTCTTTTTAAGATGAACTGATGATGCTTTCAGAATACGAAAGCGAAACGTCTTCAAAATAGATAAAGTAGCCTATCAACTCTGTCTTTTATTTCTCCACCTCGAGACCGATATAAGAACCCACCACTCTTCTGAGTGATCCTTATAATATATTGGATTGACGGTCGTACTCCTTTTTCCGATATATATATATATATATATATATATATATATATATATATATATATTATATATATATATATATATAGCATCTATAATGGTGGTGACCGCCAGGGGAAGTTCAGACCATATGGATATCATAATATCATACATTTAGCCTTCCGATGTTCCCAATTTTCTTGGATTTCTGTCAGTCTTGTGTATTTAATAAGTAAGTCTTGTATGTGTAATAATGTCACTATATTTTATGCAAAATCTGCCTCAACTTATTCATTTGCATCTTTTCCTTTATTGTCAAGGTAACCCAAATTTTTTCGTTAGCTATCGATTATTAACGAATTACGAATTATACTTTGGATGGTATACCACAAGTATTATGAGATGAATGTATACAATTTCTTGGATAAAATATACGATAAATTTTATCCTATATGTTATCCAAGAAATTGTATACATTCATCTCACATTACTTGTGGTTTACCATCCAAAGTATATTATATTGTTATCAATAATCATGTTACTCTGTAGTTCCCATTATCTTATCCAACAGTAAGCATTACTAATGCTTTAGGTTAACCTGTGCAATCCTACTTTCACATGAAAGGGGTACCCCCGTTAAGATAGCCAAAATGCCCTCACTCCCAGAATACAATTTTTTCCATGTTTTTTACGTTTTATGTGATTAAAAAATAAGGCTCAGCGCAATTTTAACCCGCCAAACCACTAGCTGTCTTCTATTGGAAATGGCATCTGTTGTTGATCTGCCTTCCATAAATTTACCCAACATACTACCAATGCAACTAATCTTTTAGAAACAATAGTAATATTTGAATCGTAGCCATATAAAATATTGATCTTAAAGTTTAATCACTAACATTGGATTCCAAATTTCTGTTTGTCGGTGTCTACTTTCCCCAAAAACCGGGACACTTTTGAATATAATAAATAAAAATGTTTATTAGCTTTACAACTTACTTTTTAGGGTCACGTATGGGAACATGTTAATACAGATCAACCTCTAACCAGTATTAGCTGCGGTCCGTTCAAACAAGTTTGGGCCGTAGGAAGGAAAGGCTGTGCTTATTATCGCTTTGGTATTACTGAGGAAAAACTCGAGGGAGAAAAATGGATATGTGTGGAAGCTCCGAAAGGTGGTCAACTGAAGCAGATATCGGTCAGTTCGATTGGTGTTTGGGCCGTCGATCATCAAGAACGAATACACGTAAGGAAGGAGATCACACCCACTTTTCCAGAAGGAACGCACTGGCAGACTATTGTCGCTGATCCGCCTATTTTAAGTAAGTTCAAATAGATAATTAGAAAAATAATAGATATAATTGAGATATTTATTAGATGGGATTTGTACCTGCTCTATCGTTCGGGTCAACTATGCAAATATACTGTTCGGATCAATATGACTCAACTATGGTTTACGGTCCTTATCGAAATAAAATAAGCTAATGGTGCTAAACAAAACTTTATTAACGAAAAATTATAGTTAATTAAACAAAAATTATGTTGCTACTGTAAATTAAACCTTGTTAACAAAAATAAAAGGCATTTATTTCTTTCCCAGAAAAGCCTAAGAACAATTACCTACAAAATTTAATTTAGTTTACAACTAGGACAGTAATAAAAAGAATGGGTTTTACAAATATGTTTGTGACATATACAACATAAAATATTAGTCTTGTTATCGTTTTTAGAGCAAAAATTTACAGCGTGCTCGTTTAGCAGGCGGAGTTGGATTGTCCATAGACGGATCACTAGGATTTTCATCTTCTCTACTCGCTTCTGTTCGTATTTTTTTACCAGTTTTTGTGAGTTTTTAGTTCTTGGTATTTTTTTTCTAGAAAGGATAAGTGATTTCACCAGCTATTTTCCAAATTCCTCAAGAAAAATTCGCCGTTTTGTAAGTTTGTTGGTGTTCTATTGAGGATTTATTGATATCCATAAAACGAACGCGTTGTAGGCAGAAATGTCCAGCATATTATAAAAACAATCATAGGCCAGCGATTTGTCTTCCTCTTACACCGTACCTCGGAGGTAAAGGACACTATGTCCATTTTCTTACTTTTTCAGGAGAGCAGTTTTAACATTTTTTAAATTTTTAATCAGTAAATACTCAAATGTTTCTTATATTTAACCAAGATTAATATATTATTATTGTGGTGTGTATAATCGTTTTTCCTTCCATGAAGTGTTACGTACCTGAAGTTTACCGTTCATTTTATATATATTTTTTTAAATGTGTAGTTGGACATAGTGTTGTTTACCTCTAATAACTTTTTTAAATAATGTGACATTGCATGTTAAGGTCTCTACGAAATTAACAATAGAAATACACTAAACAGCCTATACTATTATTTTATTAGTGGTAAATATTATAATGTTATAATAATTAAATTAAGAAAAGTTAAATAACGTAAATTTATAGACGACAAGTTTCAAAATTGTTAAAGAGGCTCCATATCATCTTCATCTTCTTGTGGGTAATCGTTTGTGGCTACATCGCTATGTGTTAAATTTTGATAAAGTGCATAACAAACTGACGGAAAAAGACAGTAAGGTAATGAAGTCATTAAACTTTTGTTTTCTGATTGGTAATGGGTTTACTGAGACTTGATTTAATTGAGCTGGAAACGTTACTTGCTGTCTTGGTTACCTCATGAAGTCCACTTCATACGTATTTTGATTATTTCTTTTAAAAGAGCTTCCCAATGTGTTCTTGTTGGACTTGTAGGAGTCAACACATGTTGACAGTAGAACAGGATCTTCATTAACATTCTTTTTTCTACTTACAAAAGGATGATTAAGTGACAATTTCTTATCGAACAGCGTTTTGAAGTGTTTAAAATCTGCAAGTTCCATATTGTGCACTGTGTATTTACCTGATGTTTGCCTAACTAGCTGTTGCCAGCTCCATGGTGTTAAAATGGCCAAATTGGAGAGTTTCTTTTTGTTTCTCTCGATTAAAGCATAAACACTGTCTGCTTCCATATGTGTGTGCCCTTTCAGTAAAAACATTTGAGTGATCGTCTTTATTTGAGGGTATGTACGCAGTATCCAAAAATAGCACATTATAACACTTATATTTATATTTTGTCCATAGCAGTTATCGGTCCAAAGAGTGATGTGCTTTACTTACTACCTGGAATTGTATTGTCAGTCTATTTCAAAATTCACGAGGAAATTTCATTTGCACTTCGGACCCTTTCGATTCGTCCCACATCATATATTTTACAGAAGAATCACTGCTTCTACAAAAGCTTCCTTTTGTAGAAACTAATGCAATTGTGAAAGCAAACATTTTTACAAATCACCAGATAATACTTTGTGTTTTGGTGACTCTTTAGCTATTAAAAAGTCCAATTGTTGTAAATTATACAGAGTTTTAAATTCAATTAGGTGAGTATCATGATTAGCCTGTTCACTGGTTAGTTCATCTGCAGTAAGATTATTTTTCAATTGAGCTGTGAATGTACTGCATGTATCGCAAGTGTCTATTTCGGGTTTCCAAGTTTTCAAAGGGCAACTTGAAAATATTTATTAAAAATATCTGCGTCGAATTACTTTTTTACTCTGAGCTTTGGATCTACATGTATTTCATTGCATTCATCAAAGTACAGTTGATACAACTTTTCTATCGTAAGTTCTATGCCAAGATAATCTCTCTTACTCCTTTCTCTGGAATAATGAATCTCGCACTTTGATAATGATTTAATATGTTGATGTATACTATTTATGATTTCGGTAGGAGTTTTATTGATTAGCGTGTGTCTACCTCTTTGATCAGCTTTTATTAAACCTCCTGGCTCAATTTTTTTCAACATATTTACTACTACTAAATTAGATATACAAAATGTGTTTGAAAAAATAACCTTGCACACCCTCAATCGCTGATTGTTGACTGTAAAATGGTAGTGTATTGTATTATTTTTAGATTTGGTAGAATTTAGGTCTTTTTTTGTTAATCGAAGAGTAGGTTGGATGTCATGACATGAGAAGATAAATTGAAATCTGAAACGTTTGTCTCAGTCCAGTATGAGTTGAAAATTTTTTGTCTTTCATATTCTGGGGCAATCTTTTAGAGCATTTCATGCGACACATGCAAGAAAGCTTTAACATTTTTGCAGGCATGTTTTTGCCTTTTTTACTGAGATACTCTTTCCCACCAGATATTTTTGATTTGCGAACATTACAGACCCAATTTTGTTCATTTACTACACGTTTTTTGCCTTTTTGTTTGCACTTAGTTACATTTTGTACCTTTCTTTTAACACTTTATTTATTTAACAGATATTATGGTCATTTAAAAAAACAGACGAAATTCTTTACTAGTAACAAGAACATACTAACTGATACTTCTATTTTAACGGTAGATAGAAAAAATGTATGTACAGTTTGAAATTTTGAGCCCTATACAAAATAATATACATTACTAAATATTTGAGTTAAGAAAAATACAAAATCAGTGTTAAAAACAAACTACCTGTAATGCTGTTTATTGAATATACAGACAGTAATTGTAATAATATTTTTCCACGAAAGTTCGGATCCATTTTACAATTATTAAACAACGAACTTATTGTACAACTTTTATCAACCTAACACAATTGCGATCTAAATAAAAAGGTTGCAATGATTTTAGTTTATGACAATTCCGCCAGGTACAAGGGTACATAACACTATGTCCGGATGGTAAATGACAATGCACACATTTACTAGAGGTAAACAACACCAAGTCCACATGGTGTTGTTTACCTCTGACTGGAAGTGGACTTGGTGTTTATTATAAAGTCGGTAACTTGCCGTAAAATTGTCTCTGGACATAGTATGGTTTACCTATGTGTAGAGCCAGAAAAGTTATATTCAAAAGTGCAATAATCTAAATTTCGATAAAAATGGACATAGTGTCCTTTACCTCCGAGGTACGCATATATATATATACCAAAAAACCGATCTAGAGTACTCACTGCTTCCTTACTGGAATTGTAATCTAAACTATTTGGGGTTTTTTGTCAATTTTGTCATTAATAGCCTTATCATGATGCAAAGTACTCATAAGAATAACATTTTTATTCTTTTTAGGACTATAGTTTTTAGGACAGCTCTCGCTTGTCGGATAATAACTACAAAAATGAAATAAAAAGGGGTACTTACATGCATTTCCTGGTTAAACACAATACAAGAAGGTTCTTAAGCTATTTAAAGTTAGGACGCCGCTTAGAAGAATCTTCCTGCTGTATGAAAGAAAGGTTCTTCCTTCTTAAGCAATATAAAAAAGGGTTAGAAACTTTTTAAAAGAAATAATACTCTTTTTTAGGGAAACAATATATTTATTATTGTCTCACCACAAATAGTTACAAATATAAATAGTAATACAAAATAACGAAAAACAATCTTGCTATATTACTATCGGTTTCACTAAATGTTTTTTTTCCTTTAAAGTTTCTGGCGTTCAAACTGCACTCGAATTCACTGCAACGCAAAAAAACTGCATCTCACACTGCGAAATAGCCTGGAATGACAACCAGGGACAAACAAAATGAGAGTGGAGGCTGGGAACTGGGACGCTATCTTTGGAACTTTGCTTCTTAAAACTCAGAGATAATGGAACCAATGTGGGTATTGGAAACGCCGTTTTACAAATCTCTCAGATGAGAGACGGCATGAAAACAAAACAGTGACTACTCGTATAAAAACTGACACATTACAGTCTAGTATAATTCACTTTATAATTCACTTTTGTCGGTCAGATAGCTCAGCGGGCTGTGCGGCTGCCTCTCATTCGCTTCACTGTCGAATGGTTTAGTGGATGTGGGATCGAGCCCAAGCTCGGTGTACAGAAAACAAAAAGTCTAACGCAGCAGTTTAAAATTCTAGATGAATCTGCGGCTTAGACTAGGATATGCTGGGATTTGATCGGCCTATGGTGGAGCAGTACGGCAAGAGATAAGGGCTTGCGGCTTGGTGATACTCCTCCATAGATCCCTACCGGACAGGCGTAACGCCTAAAAAAACCGGATATATATATATATATATAATTCACTTTTTTTTTTACTACAAATTTGCCGGTTTCTCCAAACTAAACACGCCGCGTCTGCTCTCTATCAAATCTCTTCCAAACCTCACTTCAACTGTAACTATTAACTGCTCACCAAACTACATATTTTCTATAAAATCGATCAAAGAATACCGAAGAAATACGCGTCCGTGATATATAAACAAGTTTTAAAATGTGTTTATTATCAACTCCAGCGATGCAAAAGGATTGAAAATACTTTTTCGGTGTTTT